CTGCCCCTCTACGCCAAGGAGTACATCCTCTTCTGCGTGGTGGTCTTTGCCGCCATCCTGGCCACCATCACGGTGCTCTATGGTGCTATCTTCCGAGTGGTGCGGATCAGCCGGCGCCACTCCCCGCGCGCGCACCGCCTGCTGCGCACCGTGCTGCTCATCCTGGCGGCCTTCCTCGTGTGCTGGGGGCCGCTCTTCGGCCTGCTGCTGGCCGACGTCTTCGGCTCCACCGCCTGGGCGCAGGAGTACCTGCGCGGCATGGACTGGATCCTCACGCTGGCCGTGCTCAACTCGGCCATCAACCCGGTCATCTACTCCTTCCGCAGCCGTGAGGTGTGCCGCGCCGTGCTGGGCTTCCTGTGCTGCGCCTGCCTGCGCCTGGGCCTGCGCGGGCCCGGGGACTGCCTGGTGCGCGCCGCCGAGGCCCCCTCGGGCGCCTCCACCACCGACAGCTCGCTGCGGCCCCGGGACAGCTTCCGCGGCTCCAGGTCGCTCAGCTTCCGCATGCGCGAGCCCCTGTCCAGCATCTCCAGCGTCAGGAGCGCGTGAGGCCCAGGTTGGCGTGACGGGACCGCTGCCAGGCGTGCTCTGGCGCGCGGGGGTCCCCGGCCACTCGGGAGGCGCGTGGTCAACAGAGAACCTAGGAGTTCCCTGGGGACTCGGTGCCAAGCCGGTTTCCAGAAACGGTTCTGGAAGTTTCCAGTGAGAGTGCTCCCCTCAGGGGAGCTTGTCTGCATGCTGGGGGGTCCAGGGTGCGTGGGGCTGGCTGGGGGTTGGTGCCCTGGCAACAAGGACATTCAATGGTGGTACAAGACGGCCCCGTGTCTCCCTCTTATTCACATGTGTGCACGTGGGCAGGGCAGCGCTGGGGGGCGCTTGGAGCAGGGTGCTGGTGGGCGTGGTCCTGGCCGCAGGGGGTGGGTGGTCTGTAGGCTGGGGTGTGAGGGTGAGAGGGGTGTGTCTGGACCAGGATGGATAGGCTCCTGGTGGGGGGTGGGGAGAAGGGGCTGAGGGCATCCTACTGTGTGAGTGTGACTGTGTGTGCCATGTTTCTGAACATGTGTGCACACAAGCGCTTGTGGCAGGAAGGGCATGGCAGTGCGTGTGTGCACCCTGAGTGTGCCATAAAGAGACGAGGTCCTTTACATGTCTATGCGTGTCATTGCTCTCTTACCTGTGTGCATACTGTGTGTGCAGTTCTATTAGCTTTGTGTGGGCACATGCACATGCGTGTATACATATGCATGTGCGTGGTGTGTGAGCACAAGCATGCATATGCATGCACATGTGTGCACGCAGGTGTGTACACTGTATTGCAGTTTTGCATGCAGTGCATGCACGTGCATGTTTGTGCACAGGTGTGTCCAGATGTCCGTGTGTACTGGGTGGATGCATGCCTATGCATGCTCAGGTGTGTGTGCATGTTCGGGAATGCTCTGTGTGCAGTTCTCCATGCTTTGTGCCTGCAGGCAATTGTGCCCATGTATGCACTCACTGTGCGTATGTACCTGTATATGTACACAAGTGCATGTGCACACATGCAGGCGTGAATATTGTTGTAGATTTGTATGCAATGTGTGCATGCATGTGCACAGCTGTGTGCATGCTCGTGTGTGTGCATGTGGGCCCTGTGTTTGCGTGAGGACATGTGTGTATCCTTGTGTGTACTCTACAGGCGTGCATGTGTGTGCATGTGGGTTACTAACCATTAACTGTGTGTGACCAGCAAGGCTGTTGCAAGATTTCCCAGGCCTGCCCCTTCTCGCTCACTTCCCCTTTCCCTGCCCTGCCCCCGTCTCAGCCTGGGGGCCCCTGGGGGGACTGGTGGGTTCCTGCTGTTTGCCTTACAGTTAGCAGCTCAAAGGGTAACTCATGCTATTGACAGGCCTCCCACACTGTACAGGGTCACCCTCAAAATAAGACCATCTTTCTCTAGTAGGTAGATGATTCTTGGACCAAGGTTGCCCTTGAGAAGACC